TCAGGAACTTACGTGATAGCTTTTGATGAATGGTCATTGGTTACTTGGCTTTGGGCAAAGTACCCTGGAGTCTTGAATTTGACCCAGTTGTGAAATAGCCACCTCCTTGATTTCATCCTTAAAATACATGTACATCCTGCTTTTCTTAGGATAAAAATTTTCTGAAGAATTCTCTCTCATGCGACTGTGGTCAGGCGCTAATGCCCTCAGCATAATCTAGAGCAATTCAAGTCATACCTGCAGAACACGGAATGCAATTCCAAAACCATCTTCTATATTTTTCCCTCCTAGCATGACCTGAAAAGGAGAGGGAAATGTGGTTAGTGAAACAATAATTAATGGAGTAGCCCCTTAATTAAAAATGAGAGCCCCCATTTATTCAACAAATATTTGTTGAGACTCTACTCAGTGCCAGGTACTAGGGTAATCAAAATGGACTTGCTCTCCAGCCTTCTGTGGCTGACATTCTAGTGGGGAGGCAGGCATCAAACAAACAACTGAAATAATAACTAGATGATTACAACTGTGGGAAGTGTTCTGAAAGAGAAGAACAGCCTGCTGGAGGTCTGAAACATCGTACGTACCTTGCAGGCAACATCCATTTTCATGTGGTTATTTCCAAACAGGGTTGGCAGAGGCAAGGTGGTGATTTGCGAGGTCCCAGCACTTTCACACCGATGTAAGAACCTAGTCACTTCCATCTGCAGTTGAAGTGTGTTCATGTGCCTATGGTGATAGGAGACGCATGGTCTAGCCTCAGGAGGGGCTTCAGGAATGACAGGACTAGGGCTGGGTGACTGGGAAATCATAACAAGATGGCAATGGAAAAGGCAGAAGAAATGATGTGGAAGGAAAAGAGATCGAAATACCCTCTGAGCAGTTATGACAAGACAAAAATGGGTGGTTTTTGCCTTGTATCGACTCACAATAGTTAAGGGCTTTGTGGAACTGGTTGAGGTCCAGTCCTTGAATCACTTTTTAAAGAGCATCTATGTGCTGCTAACAACAGAGGTCAAGAGAGGCATGAACTCTACCCTCAGGGTTCAGAGGCGGAGGAGAGATGAGTAATGAACAAACACAGAAATATCCAGAGACTGGGTCTACGAAGGCAATAAATGCTAGTGGTGGGCATTTGCTTTAAGTGCTGTGTTCTAAGCAGAGGGATCAGCGAGCACAAAGGCTGAGAGAAGGGAGAGACTTGGTATGTTGAGGAGCCCTGGGAGGCCAGTGTGACTGATGCTCAGCAAGCAAGAAGCGAGGAGCTGGGAGATAAGATGAAGACACAGGCAGGGGCCAGATTGCGAAGGACCTCTTCTGTAAAGGATTCGGAGCTTAGTGTGATTATAACACGTGATTCCACTGCCCCCCCACCCCCCCACTCTCCTCTTCTACTAGCTCCTCTGTAGGCTTTCCAACCTTGTACTAGACACTGTTGTGGAATAATTCCTTATTTATTTATTTACTTATTTATTCAGTGAGTGTTCAAAAAACTTTTTTAATTTTTCAATTACACTTGACATGCAATATTATTTTATATTGGTTTCAGGTGTATAGCATAGTGGTTAGACATTTATATATAAATTTATGAAGTGATCCTGGCTAGTCTAGTACCCACCTGGCACTATACATAGTTATTACAATATATTGACTATATTCCCTGTGCTGTACTTTCACATCTCTGTGACTAATTTATAACTGCCAATTTGTCATTCTTCATTTCTTCACCTTTTTCATCCAGTCCCCCAACGACCCTCCTATCTGGCAACCATCAGGTTTGTTCTCTGTATCTATGAGTTTGTTCGTTTTGTTTGTTCATTTATTCTGTTCTTTGGATTCCATATGTAAGTGAGAGCGTATGGTATCTGTCTTTCTCTGTTTTATGTCTGACTTATTTCACTCAGCATCATACCCGCTAGGTCCATCCATGTTGTCACACGATAAGACTTCATTCTTTTTTATGGCTGAGTAATAAGGAAACATTCCTTTTAGATGTGTGGTTCCCCGCCCTCCCCACACACCAGGGGTTTAGGGATGGGCAAGAGCAGCTTCATCACCGACAGACACTCAGCTCTAGCCTTGCTGCACCACCCTACCTGTTCCCCGAACCCCGAGCTACCTTGATACATCAGCTGCAGTCATCTTCTTCCGGAAGAAGGTGGTTTTCTTCTTTCTGGAGCCGCGGGAGGTTTCCTGGAGGTAGGTCTTCAGGTGGTCCTTGGCCTTGAGCAGCCAGGAGAGCTTCTCTCCCAGTTCCGTATATGTTTTTGCTTTGTGACTGAAGAACCGAATACAGGTCATGGCAGCCCGGACTTGGTCCTACAAGAGAGAGACTAAAGTTCAGGCCAAAGGTCAGGGATATTGGAGGGTGGGGTTGTGAGGGGCATTCTGATCTGATTCCCACCCACCAGCAGGGTTGCCAGCACCCATTCCCATCACCCATCACCCATCCCAGCTGTAGTGTTACTTTGTATCAGTCACTCCAGGCCCAAGAGATCCTACAGTGAACTGACTGGCTGAGCTCCTGGGTAGAACATTATTCCACCACAGAAGAGATCTTAAAAAGGATACTTCTTATTCTCTGTTCCTCTTGGCTTCCCTCTTATTTGGCACTGACTAATTCCATTTCTCTGTGATTTAGTACTGGCAACCCTCAGATGGATTGGAAGAAATTTGTTCTCTCTCCCTTCATTCATCTTTTCTAAAAACACTTGTTTCTCCATTATTCTTTGTGAAGTCTGCATTCATGACTCATGTTTATCTTGAAACTACTGTCTACCTTTTTTTTTTAAAGATTTTATTGGGAAATTGGGTGAGGGGAACAGACAAGTTGCTGTCCTTCTGTTCTTCAGTCTAGTTGTGGAGGACGTCGCTTCACTGGCCCATGTTGGCATGATCATTGCGCTCTTCCCAGGTGAGGCAGTTGCTCGCTGGACATTGGATGGCCACTCATGGTGGCTCACGAAACCTCACGCCCACTGCCGGCCAGCCCCACTGTAGCCTACGCCATTGCCTGCAACTCACGGCAGCCCAGCTCCAGGTCGAGCTGTTGCTCACCATCTTAGCTGTAGAGGGCAGCGTCACTGGCCCTCATGTGGGATCCGAACCGAGGCCCTGCTGCTCAGAGATGGTATCCCAAACCAATTGTTAACCAGCGCGCCACTCGGCCGGCCCAGCACCTACCTCTTTTTCACCTTTACATTTCTTGAATTCTGAAGAATGCCATTACTGACAAGATTAAAGTTTGCCTCTTTAGGATGAGGTTAGAAATCCTAATATTACTTAACAATGCTAGGTAGCAACATGGATTCGCTCTAGCATTAGCCAAGTAGCAAGGCCAGGGCCAAACAACAGTCTTGCTCCTTCATTTTGCACATGGCAAGGCGTCAGCGACAGAGACAGGAGGAGCCTGGGGCCGTGCTTACCTTCATAAACTGCTGCAGCTCGTACAGAATGTGGTAGTGGTTCTTCTTCTGTAAATGCTGGCAGGCAGCAAGCAAGTATTCTCCCCAGCTCTCCAAGGTTGGATCAATGGATTCTAGTAAGTTTTCCAAAATGTGTAGCTTTCCACTTTTATAGCTTGGCTGGAAAATGCCTTCTATGAAGACTTCTGGGGGACTCTCCTAGAGCAGGACAAAGCAGAAAGTCAGAAGTCTTGAGCTTGGGTCTCACTGTGTCTGGCGTCCATTCTGAATTTCCTTCAGCATCCTCCTAGGTGGTGCTTCTTAACCTTTTGCGTGTCACAGGTGCCCACTGTCGTGATTGTTCCACTCTCTCTTTCCCTTTACATAAAGATCCTTGTCAGAGTTACCTATACCCGTTGTTTCCTATTTATGTCCTGTGCCTTTTCTTTTCTCTTGAACCCTATGTAGCTGTCACACCCACAACTCCATTGAAACTGCCCCTTTGGTCACCAATGATCTCTACAATATTAAATCTAAAAGTTAATTCTTGGTTCTTGTTTTCCACCTAATCTATCAATAGCTTTTGATACAGCCGATGGCTTCCTCCTCCTTGAAATATTTTATTTGGCTCCAGGACATCACCCTCTCCAGGTTTTCTTTTACTTTTCCAGCTACTGCTTTGCAATCTCCTTTGCTGATTCTCCTAGGTTCCCCAGGCCTTAGGAGGAACCTGTTCTCTCTTCTATCCATAATCACTTTTGGTGATTTCAGGTAGACTCATTGCTTTAAATACTATTTGCTGACTGCCTAAATCCCTATTTCTAGCCTGATCACCCCTTCTGAACTCCAGAACTGTATATCCATCTGACATCCAATCATCTATTCAATATGTCCTTTGGGGTACCTCGTGAGCCTACTACATTTAAAACTGCTCATGATTGTTCCTTCTAAATATGCTCTTTCTGCAGTCTTCCCGTTCTCAGATGGCAATTTTGTTCTTTTACTGGTTCAGGTCAAAAAGCTCAGTCATCTCTCTCTCCCTCACACCCCAACATCAAATTCATCAGCAAATTCTACTGGCTGTACTATCAAAACACATACAGGACCTGTATGTCTGACCCCTTCTCACCACCTTCACGGTACTACCCTGGCCAAGCCACTTACTTGGATTATTGCAATTGCCTCCTCTCTGGTCTCCTGTTTTCCACTCCTGCCTTTATTGTCTAATGCCACCAATTTAACCTGAGTAATTCTGTAAAACGTCACATTATTCCTCTGCTCAAAATCTTCCTACGGTTTTCTCTGTCACTTAGTGCAAAGCCCAAGTCCTCACAATGTCCACTAGGCGCTACATAATCTGGCTCCTGCTGTCTTTCTGACCTCATCTGCTACCACCTGTGCCCCGCGCAACTGCTACAGCCGCCCTGACTTTTGTACTTGCTACTCTCTCTGCCTGGACTGTGTGCTTCCTCCACAATCTGCAGGGCTCACTACTACCTCCTTTAGGCCTTTACTCTGATGTCGTCTTCCCTGGGCATCCTGTCTAAAATTGCACAAGCCACCCCTTCCCCCGACCCCACTTTATTTTTCTTATTATTACTCATTCCCTACACTATATATTTTATTTACCTGATTTATTGTCTGTCTCTTTACTGTAAGTTTTATGAGGGCAGATATTTTTGTCTGCTTTTTTCACTGCTGTATCTTTAGTGTTGAGAATAGTCCTTGGCTATTTAATAAATATTTCTTAGATGAAAGAATAAATGATAAACATTATGGAATTCCTCAGGAAAGTGCACACATATCCTAATTCTGAAGCTCATCTGAGGTTCAGAGACCTTGAGTTATAAACCCCTATTCCATTGTCATAGAAAAGAAAAATCATTTTGGCATTTCGATTTTAGATTAGCAGAGTAAAGGATGGCTATAAACTCATGGTAGTAGAGTCATGCTGGCCTAGGAGCACTGGGCACGAGCTGTTTACAAGTGGAAAGGATCTGAGCTCTGAGAACATCCACAGTGGGTTGGGCACTCCTTTCCTGATTCTGGCTATTTCTAAACGAGAACCCCAGACCTAACCTAAATGTTGTGGGCCAGACTTTAAGAAGCAGGTGCACAGCTCCATAGGAAAGGTGTCTTTCTTAAGAACCTCCATTTCACCCATTCAGCGATCCACTCATTCATTCATAACTGGCACTAGGTCAGGTGCTTGAAGACACCGATTAGTAAAATATAGGCCTTCTCAGTCCGGATGGGAAGACAAAACCATAAACAATAGTCGCAATCCAGTGGGATACATGCAATAACAGACTATGTCCTAGGTATAATGGTGGCATCCAGGAAGAGGTGATTAACATTGCTTGCATGTTCTGTGAACACTCAATAGAGGGGGTCTGAAAGGGTAAACAAGAGTTTTCCAAGAAAGCAAGGAGGAACAGGGCATTCTACGTAGGGAAAACAACACATGCAGGCTCATAGAGGTAAGAAAGCACATGAGAATCAGGAAATTTAAGTAATTTGGTAAGTCTGGAATGTAGAGTTTGGTAGGATTTGTGGTGAAAATAAACTGGAAAACTAAGGGAGCCTGATCCTGTGGGTCCTGCACGCACGCCGAGGCATTTGGACTTCATCCTGTGGCCATGGGGATCCACTGAAGGCCTTTTAGAGGGGGAAATAGCATGAATGATGAATAACATAAATAACATGCATTTATGTTCTAGGAAGCTCACCCTGGAACAGAGTGCTAGGTAAAGGGGTGAAAGGATAGGGAATATGCTAGAGACACAACATATTCCATGCGATAGGCATTGGCATAGTTTTCATGATTTTTTTTTTCTTCTTTTTTTCTGTTGCTCCCTACCTGTTTGAGAATTAAGGCACGATATTTCAGTTGAAGTGTAATTGTGATTACAGGAGATAAAAAGAAGGCTTTTGTATTCTAGCTCTGCCAAATGTAAAGCAGGGATAGCGCTGTCGTCAGCTTATAAGATAAGTAAGTAAGCAGCTTAACTTTCTGGACTAGTCATTAGTTAGAATAAACAGAACTGGGTGATTTCCATTCTCAATTTGTGCTTGGGAGGAGCAGATTTACTTCAAAACTCATTTGGAAACTGAGGAAAAGTAAAAGTTAGCAATTAAACTCCAAATAATCTAACTTTCACATTATCCTTGTGATGCTGTGAGTAGCTAAGGCACAGTTAGTAGCTAAGGCAGCAGTGAAAACTTTTCCCTTTTGCCCTCCTGTATGGGTATGGTTATTATGACACTGTGAACTATTGACTTCACTTGGAGCAATCCTACAAGATAAGTCTATTTGCAAACTTCCATTGGCTGCCATTTTGAATGAGGGAGGCAGACTGAAATTAAAGTATACCTTGAGATCTTTTAATTTTATATGAAATTTGGTATAAATCAGCCAATTCCTTATAAAGTTTTCACGTAACCATCAGATAAAAAAGGGAATGCCCAAGGGTCATGGTGAAATGGAGTCCTGAGGTTGCCTAACAACGACTCCAAAGAAATAATGCACCTCAGTGGTGACTTTGCCTCCTGTGGGAGGAGGGCAGAGGGTGCCAGAGGGTAAAAAAGGAGAGCATACTCTCCTTCCATGAGCTATCTGGGGACCAAATATAAGATTTGTACCATGGGTGCTTCCTGGGTCTTGTGGTAACAACTCAGAATGGACGAACAGTTGGGTCAGCAGTGGGATACAGTCCCAGGGTAGGTGGGAGGAATGTGGAAGCAGAGACAGGCTAAGTAAGCAATTGGCCCAAGGTCACCTCACTTACACCAAACATCTTATTCCAGAGATCATGCTCTCAACCACTGTTTGATTCTGCTGTATGATTTGGAAAAAGGGATGAAATCTGTCATTGGGCAATTTGAGATCCAGGTTAAAGACTTGTTGCACACTCATCAAATCATGACTTGTGTAGACAGAAGTTTCCATTTGAACTGACTCTGCCAGAGGTGATCTCATAGCTCCACACTGGGTGACGTTTAAGGGCATCATCACCGCCCTTAGAGCTGAGGGCCACCCTTGGTGGGCAACGCAGGTGGTGACCTTTGAGAGCTGTGTGTGCATGGCCCACCTTGTTGAGGAGGTGCAGCAGGGCTTCCCGCAGGCAGCTGTGCCTCACATAGAAGCTGATGATGGCCAGGTTGGTACTATAATTATGCAGGTAGAAGAGGCATTCTTGGTAGTAGGTGTTGTTCATGATCTTCCCTTCAGGAATCACCTCCAGAGAGAGGCTCTGGGTCCGAAGGGTAGCTTCCAGCTCTTTCAAGGTGGCCAAGTAATCATCATCTTGCTGAAAGGAAAGGAGAGAATGGGAAGGAAAAATGGAACTCTTTGAAACTACTGTTTTCAAAGAATATTTAACAATGTAGAAAAATGCTCATTATATAGTTTTAAGGATAGAAAAACAGTCAGGATAGAACATTCTATACATTATGACACCAATTTCATTCAAAAACATAATAGAACATTCACCAAAATCTAAATACTACGTAAGTCTGGGTAGGAGATTATATGTGATTTTCATCGTTTAAAAAATAGCTTTCTATAGCTTGTTTAAAAAAATATTGACTCGGGCCGGCCAAGTGGCGCATTGGTTAAGAGTTGGCTTGGGACGCCAGCTCTGAGCAGCAGGGCCCCGGTTCGGATCCCACATGAGGGTAAGTGATGCTGCTCCCTCTACAGCTAAGATGGTGAACAACAGCTTGACCTGGAGCTGGGCTGCTGAGAGTCGCCGTTGATGGCACAGGCTGCAGCCGCTGCTGCAGTGGGCTGCCATAAGCTACCGTGAGTGGCTGGCAGCCAGTGTGAGCTGTCATGAGCCACTGTGAATGGCCGTCCAATGGCCGGCAAGCGACTGCCTCACCCGGGAAGAGCACAATGATAACACCGACATGGGCCAGTGAAGTGACGTTCTCTACAACTAGACTGAAGAACAAAAGAACAGCAACTTGTCTGTTCCCCTTCCCGAATTCCCCAATAAAATCTTTAAAAAAAACAACAAAACATTGAGTCTATTTCTTATCTAACCATATGCAATTATTTTTCTAACTACGTATAATGGAAAGAACAAAATCCAATCCTGGCAGCTCTGAGCCTGGACTGCCACTGTCGCTGAATGGGAGATAGTCCTTTCATCAGGTCATTACTGCTCCTAGGCCTCCCATCCTGAGCTGACCCTCCATCTGCTGTGCTCTTACCAAGGATAGGAGTGGCTTCACTGTGGACTCGAGATATTCAACCACATCCTGTACCAGTCTTGAGCCATGACTCAGCTGATTGAGGTCAAAAGGGGGCTTCAGACAGCGGCTGAACTTCTCCCGTGCAGCAGTGAGGTTCCCGGCTTTGAGGCAGGCCATGCCCCAAGCGTGCCACGCGCCACTGGTATCAAGCCCAGTCTTTGTGGAGACCTGCAGGAAAAATCGCTCCTTTTAGTGACAGGTCTCTACATCAAGGCCTGAGAGTCCCTAAGACCTATTCTATTCCCTTTTTGCCAATCACCTCCCCCCAGACCCCCACCACTCACTTGCTATTACTTCCACAATGGCAAACTGGTCATGCCCTAGACACTTCCCAATTGCCAAGACAACTGAGAGATGACAATACCTGTTTGCAAGGCCAGGCAAAGGCAACTCATTAGAGTGAAGCAGAAGTCAGCTTTTTCTTTGTCTCACCTCAACGCCTAGTTGGTAGTACTCAGCTTCCAGAAGCTGGTTCCTTAGCCTGGTTACTGCGGCTGGCTGCAAGATCTGATCCAGAGATGGCACGTGGCGATAGGCAGCAGCAACTAAAATATTCAGAACGTCTACCTTGCTGATGTAGCTACAGGGAGGAAAAGGGCAAGGCAATGAGGCTCCACAGTCTTACTAAGAATAGTTGCTGCTTACAGGTTTTCTATTTCATTTCCAATGTGAAATGTGATAATGAGCATTGAGAGGCACACAGACACTATGAGAGAAGGCTCTCTAAATTCCAACGCCATCACTTAGCAGTTCTATGATCTCGGGAAAGTTAGTTAACCTTTCTTTGCCTCAATTTACTCATCTGTAAAATGAATACAAAAAGGAAATAACCCAAGTAAAAGGGCTTAGGATAGTGTCTGGAAATTGGTAGGTACTCATTCAATGTTAGATAGTAATACTTGGAGTAGAGCCACTCAGGTCTTCTATTTGAGGCAAAGCCTTTACGTTAAAGGTTGGAGGCTCACAAGTTACCTGTTTGCTTTTTGGTCCTTTTGAGCCCTGCTTGAATGGGAGAGAGCTTGAATCGACGGCCAGCACTCCTGGTCAGTGCAGAGGGCACGTCACCACCGTGCCCTGCAGGTGCTGCTGCGCAGGGGCGTCCTGGTCCCTCACTTGGACTCTCGTCTCCTGACTTGACATCCTCACCCTGAGCTAAGGGTGGACTCGCATTACAGCCTACTAGGGCTGCCACCTTTGATCTATTCTTGACACCTGATGATTGCAAAAGCCTTATAATGACCGAGAGCCCGGAGAGCGGGATCATTCTGCCTCGTGCTGCCTGAAACAGGCCTACGCTCAAGGTTCTTAAATCTTATATCATAATTCTAGAAAAAAACCCCTGCGGGTCCTGACTTGTCCACTAATTTCCCTGAAAAGGGATTCAGGATATCAGTGATTCTCAAGCAAGTAGGGATGGGGCAGGAGAGTATAGTGTGTAAAAGCAAATTCGGTATCATAACGTATTGTACACGTGTAATAGGTGATGTGAGCTTTGTTTTTAAACATTTCCTTATTTATTTATTTAAATGTCTATCAGAAGGAAACATGAGATAAAAACAGTAGAAAAATTCTCTGCAAAGCGGAAGTGCAAACACACACGAGAGATGAATCCACCGCCATCAGCAAGCAGACACAAAGGCAGGGATTCTCTAGGGTGTATATATCTGAATCCAGGGTGGGGAAGACAGAGTGTGTCATTTGAAGCCACTGCTGAAGCCCAAGTCGCCCGGGGTGGGTGAGAATCCTGCTGAAGAAAGGACTCCCTTCATTTCTGCTGCTTCAGCCTCAAGCAGTGTTTCCTCCATCGATATTAGGTTTTGAAGGAAGCGTAGGTCTTGATGTTAAATTTGTTCCACATCCCCTCACCCAATCTCAGTGTCTTTTTCTTTTAATAAAACTTTGTCTCATTTACATTACTGATATTTGAGACATATTTTTATTTTTGCCTTAAATTCTACCTTTTGCTAAATAGAGGGGTTTCTGTTCTTTTCCCCTCGTCTCATCCATTTCTAGAAAATTGGTAGATTTCTGGTTCTTTTCATGGTTGTTTTGAAAACTTTACTTAACACACGCTATACCTATTTCTTCATTTATAAACCTGAAAAATGATGTAGAATCTGATGTTGCCTCTTGATATAAAAGAGTGAAATTAACTCCTTTATATTTCCTTCCACTTTCTGTCCTGCCACCTTCTGTCTTTCTCAACCTTCTGGTTTTTGTTAATAAAAAGAAGAAAACTAACATTTTTGGAGTACACAGGCTCAGTTCTTAGCTCTTTACATGGGTACTCTCATTTTATCCTCATAACAGCGCTATGAGGTATTATTATCGTTCCTGTTTTATAGTGGAGGAAATTGAGGCCCAGAGTGGTTAACAGAGTTGTCCAAGGTTACAGAGCTCAGACGTGGGAAAGGTGAGATTCACTGTGCTCTCTGCTGTCTGATGAGTTTATAGGCAAGTACTCTGAGCAAGTGCCTGAGGTACTTATACTTCAAAGAAAATTACGCTCTCTACACCCAAATCCAGCAAGGACTGAGTGCTGGGAGCACACATGAGTCACACATCTGGGTGCATAGGGTAGGAATTGGGAGTTTTCATTAAGTTAATGAATGGAGGCAGAGCAAGTTGTGCAGGGACCTGAGGCCTGATCAGACCTTCTCTAAAGAGACTTCTACTTTATGACTCAGGTTCCTACCTGTGACACAGGGATATGCCAGTCTCCAACATAATTTATAGAGCTGGTCTCCAGAACTCCCTGAGGTCACAGTCTGAATTTGATCAAGATTAGGGTACAGTTTTGGTCCAGGCTAATAAGCATTGGACATCCAGGGAAGACAGTTCTTTAAAAACCAGCAAGTTTCACAGAGATGAAAGGTGCTCCCCTAAATTGATTTTAATTACAGATTAACCAGAGTCTTTACTTTCTTTCTGACCAGGTGTAGCTGGAGAACACTGTGCTTTGAGGACCCACTCAGGGAAGGTAGCATGAGGAAGACCATTTGTGATCTGGTAACAGCATTACAACGTCAACCTGAGATGCAAACATTTCAGCATATCTTGTTGGAGAGGACGGGGAGGTGAAAACTCATAGTGGGGTCAGAAAAGCAGCTGGATGGAAATGAGTGCCATGCACAGGAACAGGGACTCATTCTCATTTACCTGTCACAAAGAGCCAGGTCCTGGCTCCGGCCGGCCTTGACAAACATCATCTTGGCGCTGAAGAGCAGCTGCTTCATGATGTCTGTAAGCAGTCCTGCATCCACCTCTGGGTTGGTGAGGCCCTGGGACAGCCTGCAGCAGTGTTCAATCAGCTGGTGGCCACAGGCAGTGCTGTCGCGATGCAGGTTCATGATGGCGATGCACAGGGAGGCGCTGGGGGCCTGGCCGGTGGGGAGGAAGAGAAACACAGTGAGCTCACGGACCAAAGGCAGTGGGATGGCGGGAATTAGTCTTCCTACTTCACAAAGCTTGGAAAACACGAGAGGAAGGAGCCAAAATTCCACAGCAAAGCAGAAGTGGAACCAAACAAGTTTCAGATGCTCAAAGTAGCACCATCAAAGCTCAGGCTGCTAGGTTTTGTCACGTTATTAGGAAGAGGGAAGCTGTGTCCATGTGTTACTACTTTTTATCTACATCCACCTGTCCCTCCTTTTTCCAGTCTACTGTCCCACTAACACAGGTCCTCCATGTTGCTGGCTTAGACTATGACAGTCACCTTGCTTGGCTGATCACCTGGAGAAGTCTCTGCTTCAAGCCACTGGATACACTGCTGCTAAATTAATATTCCAAAAGCACATTCCAAAGCCTTTCATAGTCCCTGATGCCTACCAAGCAAACATTCCTTACTGAATTCAGGTCCCTAAACATAAATAGCTCATTTCAATCCTACCTTATACAACCTCCCTACTAACACTCTATCCCCCCAAATTAAACCTTTTCCAGTTCCCATTCACACTCTGCAATTTGACACTGTGCTTTTGCTCAGGTGTTTTAGTTTTGCACCCTTTGTCCTTCCCCATCCTCATTCCCCTCACAACCCCCAAATTTCTGCTTGTCAAACTCCTACCACTCTTCCAAGGCTCATCTTAAATGCTACCTGTTCCACGAAGCCTGTCCTGATCTCCTCTTGTGCATTTCCTAAGCTGCTCCTCATTGTCTGCCTTCCCTGGTTTATGTGGCTTAGCTCCCATGTTACTACACCATAAGCAAGTGAAGGCCAGGCTGTGCTCATCTATCGTTGCATTTCCTGCCATTCTATTACACTACTACACATCATAAAGAAACTCAAATGGTCATTGACTTTTATGATTATTACCTGCTCATAGTAAAATTCATTCCGCACCAGCTCATTTTCTTCCTCATCCAGGTCTAAAATCCATTCCACCTCAGCTGCTTTGGGGACTCTCACCACAGCTGAGTATGGAGGGCTTTCATTCTTGGAGCTGTCCGATGCTGAGAAGAGAAATGCCATTCATGTGTCAGTCACTGGCCAGCCGCCCCAGTCTCGCCCAGTCCAGTGAGCTGGTGTGAGCTGCAGGCAGATCCTTGCTATCTGAGTGCCCTTTTTCTCTCCTTGCTCCTTTTTATTTCCTTTAGGAGACATCATTAAAGCAACTCAAACTTTCTTCCCCAGGGAAGACCTGGGATGAGTGTTACAGTGTTTGTCATACAACCCTGAAGGTACATGCTTCTCAAATGGAGGGCTGAGCCACTCGCTACTCTAAAACTAACCTGCTGTGGAAGGATATAGGCCAAAGTATTAACAGTGATTGCCGAGGGGGAAGGAGGTAGCATTGGGAGGTAGGATGATAGTGAAAGGGAACCTAGGGGTAAAAATAAACTAAAAAATAGAATGAAAAAGAGCAGAACAGAATAGAAAAACCTACTAAAAGTTAAGGACCAAATTCTTTGGTTGCTGGCCTTCTCAATGGTGGAAGCTAATGGGCCAGTATGCTGGGTTAATTTGATGATAAATTTTAAGGAAAATGGCTTGATAGAAATGTCAAGAATTTTCTTTGGCCAACAAGTTGGACTGAATTGCCATGAGGGATATCAGTTGTAACTGATACTGAAGGAAATGCCAACTTGAGCATATAAACAAAGAGTCACAGAAAATGTGATTCAGCCTCACCTTCTGGTTGTCCCGGATTCTCCTCCGGCGCACTGGAAACAGAGAGGGAAAAAATGAAATGCCCGACCCTCTCCTCCTCCTCCTCTTTGCTTTGAGCTTGATGTGTAGCACTGACATTTACTCTGTTACCCAAGTGACATATCAGGGAATTTCTCAAAACTCTTTACTCTCCTTCACTTGTTAATCAGTCACCATTTAATGTCCATTCCATGTCCTAAATACCTCTTTAAATGTCCCCATTTCTCTCTTTATCTTTGCCTCAGAGAGGGGCCTCATCATTTACTGCTAGAGCCTTTGCAATAGTTTCCCACTTGGTCTCCTTGATTCTGTCAACCTAATCTGCACTTTGTAGCTAAAGCAAGCTTTCAAGAATGCAAATGCGGTCACATTATGCTTCTGCTTAAAATTGTGCAGTAGCTCTTCAAGGTAAAAATATTCCACATTTGCAGTTCAGTAAACAAAGCCCCTTGTAACTGGGCTTGGCTACCTCTTGAGACCATCTCCTGACACCATGACCTGTGCTCAACCTATAAAAGTTCTCCTCGCTCTGCCACTGGCTATGGTCAACTTCGATTGGCACCACGACGCTCTAAGTCCTGATGTCGTAAGCTAGAGCCCAAGTCCTGAGACCTAAGTCATAACCTGCATGAGAAGCCTGCTGGTCAACCCCAATCCGAGACTTTCTGCCATTGCCTAAGTCCTTCTGGCTCAGCTGCCAGCCTCTAAGTCCAAGGAACACTGGCTGGAACCTTAGCCCATCATCTGCCTACACTTCCTCAAATGACCCATACTTTCTCCGACTCTTACCTTTGTAGTTGTTCCTCCCGCTTCTGTTTAATCTTCTTTTCCTACTAACTTATCATCCTCTAAGGCTCAGACCAGGTGCCATACCTCTAGGAAACCCTCCTGACCTCCTTATCCAATGACTTTGTGGTCTGTTTGTTGGCTATCTCCCAACTAAAATGGGGGCTCCTTGAGAGCCAAGTGATTATTGCTGAGTGATTGCTGAGTGAAAGAATCCCCATCAATACTAACTGCTCATTTCAAATCTCAGCAGTATAGTAGATGGGTAATTCCCCCGTCCCCACCTGTGGGAGGCAATGGTATGCCAGGGTCACAGAAACTATAGTAGAAGTATGGTGTGGCTTCCTTCCAATAAGATGATCGGTAAAATTCCAATCATCATGGTAAATTAGGACAAAAAAATGTTCATTTTAAAACAGACACAAAAACGCTATTACACTATTGAGGAGAATGTAAAATCTATTTAAGTCTGTAAGTAAAACATGAAGAATTTAAAGTAATTTTGCTTTTGGATAATTGCTTTGACTCATATGCTTTGAGTCTTAGTTTCGCCCTCCTTTGCTACTAGAAGTAGTGGGAAAAAATTCAGCAACAATGAGTCAGCACATAGTCCTGATCTGTCTTGCCAGAGGTATGAGCAGTTTCTGAAATTTGTAACCAGGTGAACTGTGTGTAGGAAAGTATAGGATTAGTGAAAAGGCTCTTCTACTTGTGGATAAAAAGCCAGGATGATGAGCTAGATTAGAGCTGATTAAAATGACGTCCAAACATCCAGTAGTTCTGAACATGTCCCTGTGAGTTCAGCTGAGACCAACTGGAGCAAGAGTGGCTGAAAAACAGGTGAGAATGTTGGCCAACTAAGATCAATGACCTCAGTTAGTGGATGGGTTGAAGGACCAAAGGTCCTGATCTCAGAGAGAATCTCATGTAAGAGCCTTGAGCTTGGCTTCCTCTCACCCCTACTTCTTTTCTTAGAAATTTCTTTGATCAAGGTCAAACATGTTACCGTAGCGGGAATGGCATTTCAGTGTGAATGTTAAAACTTTTTGTAATGGTTCCAAATTGGAGATGCTGTCCCCGTGAGTGTAAGGACCTGGGGAGGGTGCAATGCTCAGTAATAGCAGCTGACTCACGGGAGGACACTCACTCTTTGTTGAAGTAACTATAGCACTGGTCACACACGCGAGTTGGATTCTCTCTGTAGCCTTCCACAACCATTTTCTTAGTGGAGCAGGAACTGCACACTAGCCGGCCGCAGCGGCGACAATGATGACGTCTGTTAAACTGAGGAGTGTCATCGGGAAGAGAAGGAAGGGGGATAAGACAAGGTGACATTGCAGGAACTGTGAGTATAACTGTTAGCCCATTTATCCCTGGTATTGGCCTTTGTGACTTATTAAAAGCAGCAGATGCTTGGGCCGCTACTGAGAAAGAACACACTAATCCTTGCCTTCAAGAAGCTGAGATTAAGAGATATGTCTCAGCTGATGAGCAAAGGTGCCCACGTTATGGACAGTTTTACAGTAGCTCTTGACAAGTTCTACCTGACTGTGGAGGCCACCTGTGAAGACACAGCAACAAACAGTGGGGAAGAAGTGACTTTCTCAGCCAATGCAAAACAAATTTCTACATGGTATTGATGATGATGAGAACATGTTCTTTTTTCAAAATATTTCAAAGTACTGCCTCATTTTGTTATAAGAGGTTGATAGACATATTACACTTCTCTTATAGATGAGGAGGAAACAGACACAGAGAAATTACATCATCACTGTTTTCATCAGCACTGAGCTAATATACCAGTCAGGTGCTGTGTTAAGTGTGGTAACATCTGTTATCATAGTCATGAGACAAGTAATATATCATCACTAGTTTACAAGTGAGCATCCGAGATGGAAAAAGTTACTAGTCACATTGCTAATAAAAAACAGAGCTGGGATTAGAACCCAAGTCTTCTGTCTCCAGAGCCAGCACATATAACCACTAACAGGTCACATGTCTTATTGGGAAAGACAGGGGAGCCAGGAACAAGATCTCCTGATGTTTGGTGGCCCCTCCTAATATATCAGCCTGCCTCTTTTTTGCTTCTTCATGAGAAAGGCAAAGATTTTAGAATCTTAGGCTACTTGAGGGCATCTACTGCCAGTATGAATCCAGAAAATACATTCTGGTCAGGTCAAAGAAAAACCCAAAGTCTTAGATTTGGTAGTTCTTCTGAAAATACCAATAACCTCTTGGGGACACAAAGTGACTATATACTCAGTCTCGTGAGCATGAGTTTTCCTTTAATTACTCCTGCAGATAAAGCTGGAGACTGACAATGCTTACCATGGTGAAGCGCTCCCTGCAGCATACCATGCAGATGCTCTCACTCTCATCTGGTACCCACTGGTGCCTGGCAGGGGGTGTCACAGGGGGCACAAACTCCAGTGGGGGCTCACTCTGTGGGACACTTCTCTCCTTTGGACTGGGGGAATGTACAGTGGAGACACCTGGGAGTCCTAGCCAGAAGTCAGAGTAAAAGGTGATCAATAGTTCAGCTCATAAGTGAAGAAGGGATGAAAGAATTAGAATTTCACCACTTTACAAACCCCTACTGAAATAACAGATCCAGTTAATGAATATTAATGGCTGACTGCATCAGAAAAAGGGAGACAACTGCATATTGTGTGTCTCCTGACAGGAGGCACACAACTACCTATGAGATATACTTACCAAAAAATATTAAGTCTGAATCAAATCAAACTACTAGATCTACCTGCCGGTATACTGGAAAAAGAGGGGATGGAGACCCAGGGGAGCTCTCAGCAAAATCCAGCCCATGGGACACTCTAAAGGACAAATGACCTAGTTTCCTCCACAAATAAAAAAGAGATAGGGGGAAAAAAAAAGAGGTAGGGAACCTACTGATTAAAAGAGATTTGAGAGATAGTTCAGCCAAAAGTCATATGTGGACATTATTTAGATCTTCAGTCTAGAAAAGCCAATCCTAAAAAAATATTTATAAGAAAACGGGAAATTTGAATGGTGACTGGATAGTTGATAATAATAAGGAATCGTTCATTTGTTTGTAAGTATGATAATTGATGTTATGGTCTTGTTTTAGAAATGTCTTTACCTTTTAGAGATATATACTGATATATTTATAAATGAAATGATCTGCTATCTAGGATTTGCTTCAAAATAATCCAGTAGAAGGACAGGGATCTAGATGAAACAAGAATGGTCATCATGAGGGCCGGCCGAGTGGCGCGTTAGTTAAGAGCTGGCTTGGGATGCCAGAGGGCCCTGGTTCGGATCCCACATGTGAGGGCCAGTGACGCTGCCCTCCACAGCTAAGATGCTGAACAACAGCTCAACCTGGAGCTGGGCTGCTGTGAGTCGCGGCGATGGCGTAGGCTGCAGCCCCTGCTGCAGTGGGTTGCCATGGGCTGCCGTGTGTAGCCAGCAGCCAGTGTGAGCGGCCAGCAGCCGCAGTGAGCAGTGGTCCAGAAGCCGGCGACTGATCTGCCTCACCTGGGAGGAGCACAATGATGGTGCCAACTTGGGCCAGTGAAGCAAGGTCCTCCACAACTAGACTGAAGAACGAAATGATAGCAACTTGTCCGTTCCCATTCCCCCAATTCCCCAATAAAAATATTAAAAAAAAAAAAAGAATGGTCATCATGAGATGATACGAGGTGTGATCAAACAATACGGTGAATGTTTAGATAAAAAAAGAATTGTTACAGTAAAGACACATTGCTATTAATCCCCCTCAAAATATTCCCCCTTGTTTTGAACACACTTATCCCATCCTTCTTGCCACTTTCTGAAGCAGTTCTGGAAGTCCTCTTTCGTGTCTTTGGTTGCGCTGTTGTGGCTGCCTCAGTGTCCTGAAGCAATGCAAAATGTTTACCTTTCATGGTCATTTTGACTTTGGGGAAGAGCCAGAAGCCACACGGTGCCAGATCCAGTGAATAAGGTGGATGAGGACACACCATGTTTTTTACAGAAATTGCTATACCAGAAGCGATGTGTGACATGGTGACTTTTTGATGAGATAAAAAAATATGGTGAATGCTGCTGCCGAGTGCCATCCAATGGAACAGCAGGACTCTTCATTACAGGAAACAGGTGTTTCGAGCTTTAGTAACTGTGTGTGACAAGTTTCAATTTGTTTGGTGCAGTCAGTCAGGTGTGAGCTATGGTTGAGAAAAGGTGTGATTTAAAGTGTGCTGTAGGGCTGGCAGAGTGGCTTGGTTGGTTAAGAGTTGGCTTAAGACTGTGAGCTCTGAGCAGCAGGGCCGCCGGTTCGAATCCCACACGGGCCAGTGATGCTGCACTCGCTATAGCTAAGATGGTGAACAACAGCTTGATCTGGAGCTGGGCTGCCGTGAGTTGCTGGCGACAGCATAGGCTGCAGTGCAGCTGCCGTGAGCTACTGTGAGTGGCCGGCAGCCAGTGTGAGCAGCCGGCAGCGGGCGTGACCTGCCGTGAGTGGCTGTCCAATGGCCGGTGACCAATTTGCCTCACCTGGGAAGAGTGCAATTATCATAGTACCAACATGGGCCAGTGCAGCGACGTCCTCCATAACTAGACTGAAGAACAAAAGGAAAGCAACCTGTGTGTTCCCCTTCCCCGATTCCCCAGTGCTGTTCCCTCCCCCAATTCCCCAATAAAATCTTTAAAAAAAAATAATAATAACAAAGTGTGCTGTAAATCATCCTCCATCATGACAATGCTCTGTGTCACACATCACTTCTGGTATGGTAATTTCTGTCGAATAAAAACATTACGATGTGTCTTCAATCACCTTATTCACCGGATCTGGCACTGTGTGACTTTTGGCTCTTCTCCAAAGTCAAAATGATTCAGGACATCAAGGAGGCCAAGACTCCTCTGTCTAAAGAGTGTCTAAAGAAAGACACTCACGAAAGAGGACTTCCAGAACTGCTTTAGAAAGTGGCAAGAATGATGGGATAAGTGTGTTCAAATGAGGGGGGTATTTTGAGGGAAATTCATGGCAATGTGCCTTTTACTATAATAATTTTTAAATTTTTATTTAAACATTCACCATGTGTTTTGATCATACCTTGTAATTACTGTAGCCAGGTAATGGGTATGCGAGACTTCATTACACTATTCTCTCTACTTTTGTGTCTTGGAAATTTTCCACAATTAAAGGCTAAAAAAAGAAACCAAACCTGCTCAGGCTGCCTTGTCCAGATGCATGAAGCTGCTCAAATGCCTGTAAGTCTGAGCGTCCCCATAAGGTCTGATGGTTATCATGACTAATTTTTTTTAAAAATATTTATTTATTTATTTATTTATTATTATTATTATTTTTTAGCTGAGCCATCCTGCCACCTCTTGGCAGCTCAGCGGCAGCTCAGCTCAGGCCAGACTCGAACTGCTGTTGCTCAGAGCTCAAACCCTTGAGCGAGCTCTTAACCAACTGAGCCACTCGGCCGGTCCATGACTAATTCTTAAAGAATAGCCATGAAATGCCACAGTCTTTGCTTTATGATATCTAAGGAGATTTATTGTCACCTCACCGAGCAATCTTGGCAGGTCACAAAAAAAGAGAACTGAAAACATAGTGACTCTTAGCAACGCCCAGTAGATCTCTCCCCAGAATCCTGCTCCCCTAACTGCTGGCAAACAAACACTTGCTGCACTTCTGCATGTAGGTCATTTTGCAGGGGGCTGGAAGCTGAGGGAGAGGAGACATTGTGAAAAGAGGCGACAAACACATGGCTGAGGTCCTCAAGGAGCTTGTACCTCGTGTGGGTGACAGACATAAGCAATTAAGTGCAGCATATGGGCAGAATAAATATGAGCACTAAATACAGTCGATCCCCCTTATTAGCAGATTCAGTATTTGTGAATTCGCTTACTTGCTAAAATTTATTTGTAACCTCTAAATCAACTTTTACAGTGCTTCCACAGACGTGCACAGAGTGGTGTGTTTACTAATTTAATAATTTAAGTTGCCTGACAGTAGGTTCTCAGCTGAGGTTGAACGGGCGTCCTTATTTCGGCTCTCACACACAGATGACCAGAGGGTGGAGATGGCGGGGAGCAGTGCAGTGCAGGGCAAGAAGCTCTGGGGCTGGTCAGACACGGTCTGAATCCCAACTCTGGCACTCAACAGTGGGGAGGCCTCAGGCAAGTCACTTAACACTTCTGAACCTCTTTATCTCTTTTATAAAGTAAGTAAAATAGAGTCTACTAGGATTGATTATTTTCAATTTAAGATTACAGTCTATGTTTATCTATCTATCTATCTATCTATCTACATGTATATTTTCCCTAGGAGCAATGGTTCAGCTAATTCAGTGTTTGTGGTGACTTTATAGATATACTACTACCATGAATAACAAGAATCAACTGTGTGTTGAATTTTTCTGGGGTATACAAAGCAGAACGAACCAAGAAGAGCAGTGAGAACAGTAACTGGAAAGGGGCAAAAGGATCTGAAAGTCATAATAAGGTAAGATTGAGCAAATGGGTAACTCTCAGAACCTGTTCTTACCAGGAACGGCGACAGAAGAGAACTCTGCTGATGGTGATCTAGGCAAGGTCTCGAGGTCTGAAGCCTGACTGCCAATTTCCTGGAGGTGAGTCACAGAATCTGGAGAGAGAAAATGCGGTCAGAATATCGTTCTCCCATAAGCACTCACAGTGCTAGGCATTTAGTTGAAAGCCCTGTTGGTTTCACTGGTTGTCCTTCCATGATTGTACTAGGTATGAAAAGAGTAGCAGAGGTCATTAATAGTAGGAATGTTTCTTAAATTTCTCAAAAAACAAAGTATGTTTATAAAGGCCCATGAGAAAAAAAGTAGATGCTAGGATTTTAAAAAATCAATCTAAAAACGCCCAGAGGGAAGGGGAAGGTGATGCCCCTGGAAGGTAGGGAGGAAGAAAAAGCAGCTGGCTGGGAACGTCAGTCCCTATTCATTTGTTTCTTCATTCTCAAAGAGTCTGAGTCAGCTCATGTACTGGTGATATCTGACGGGACCCTGGAAATTAAGCATATTCTTAACACAAAACGATGGCACTTAAGAGCCACTGCACCAAGGCCACACAGAGACCCCCTCCAGCATGTCTGTGGCCCAGACTCGATGTTATTAAGCATATGGTGGTTATCTACCACGCTTCAATTCTGGTTAGCTTGATATTTCCTCCAAGACCAAGATCTCTCCCACTCTCTCTCTCAAAATAATAAAAGAGAAATTAAAACTAATTAAGGATGCAGCATGGTACTTGTTCCTCCATGGAGGAACTCCCATCTAGGGTGTTGGCAGTTACCTGATCGCTTTTCCCTCAGAGGGTACAGGAAGTCCAGGGCTTTTCCTGCATATCTGGAAAGCAGTGCGTCGACCTCGTCCATGGTGAATGTGATCTCCTGGCCGGCCAGCAGCTGGTGCAGGGTCTGCACGGCCACAGTGGCCCAATCTACCTTCATGTTCATGAGCAGCTGCTCCAGCATGAGCAAGGGGTTAGAGGACAAGTGGGAATAGCTAGCCCGGTGTTGCTCAGGCAGGGTCAGCAGAACCTGTTTGTGGGGCAGATCCACAGAGTAAAGAAAATAGTACATGAACTTCAGGAGAAAGCCAAGATGCTTACTTGGAAGGGGAAGGGTGTCAGGGACCAAAAGGCACATGGCTAACTACTGAATCTGAGTCTTGATCCTTTAGGAAGCAAGGCTGGATGCCTATCTAAATCAAGAAGTACACTCCAAGTACCTACACCTAGGGGAAGAGTCAGCAAACTTTCATAGTAAAGGGTCAGATACTAAATATTTTAGGCTTTATGGGCCATAAAGTCTCTGTTGCAAACTACTCAACTCAGCTCATGTACTGGGAAAGCAGCCATGGCTAATACGTAAAGGAATGGACGCACCTGTGTTCTAATCAACCTTGATTTCCAAAGCAGGCTGAGGACTGGATTTGGCCCACAGGTGGTAGGCTGCTGACCCCTGGCCCTCCAGGCATGGCTGAGTTCTGCCTGACTCTTAAAGCCACCATTCTGTCCATTTGGAGGTTTATTAGAATGAGCAGTATAAGGTGATATCAGTGGACTGCCTAAACCTGGCACCTCCAGTGTTCTATAGGTAAAAGATGACTCTAAACTCCTCCTAGAGGTTATTATCACTAGGCTAGAAATATGTTCATTGGCTCTGTTCATTGCCAATTTTCAAGGAGTCCCCCATTTAGGTATAGTGCCTCAAAAAGAAAACAAAAAGGGTGTATCTTCTTTAGGAACATTTTACATAGTTCAACTCTTAGCAAGTGAGTTAGTGGTGATATTCATGGCTCTTCCAGCAATCATTCTATTTGTGGGGCAGTATATTTGACTGCCAATCAGAATTATTAGAAGACTGTCAGAGGGCCCTGTCTCTCCCCAAACCCTCACTCACTGGATTACTTTTTCTGGCTTATAATTTTTTTCTATTAGTGTAAAGGTTACACATCAAAGGCCTATAACCTCATCTTATTACCTAGACAATTAACCCTTTGACAAACAGTAGTTTAAATCCCCACATCAGAATCCCTTTGAAAATAGCCAGGCCCTGTCCCAAGAGATGGTTTTAATTAATCTGGGGTGGAGGTCACCTGGTATGTTTAAAGTCCAGGTGATTTTGGATTTTACATGGTCAGAAGCACTGATATACTAGGTGTCAGGAAAAGCATAAAGAAAACTTAATAGGACCAGATAGAATTCACTTAGGAGGCGGGGCAGTAAGAGATTGACAAGTCCTAAGAGACTCAACTAGGATATGGTGTGGTGATAGGGCAAGGATTTTATACATCACAGGATAAGGATGGCAGGTGCCTGGAAAAGAGCCACGGGCAGGAAAGTTCGGAAGTGGGAGCTGGGCCAGCATCAGGCATGCTGTCTCCATACCTGCTTTTCCTCCTTACCTTGGATCCCATGTATAGTGCCTGGATTTCACAGTGTCGGACAGCAGTCAGCTTTCCATAGAAGTGGGTGGTGAGGTAGTTGGCCAAGAAGTGAGAAGTGGCCAAGCTAGGGTGCTGGTCGAGGGATTGCTCTGTGACCTCAAGGCACATGGAAGGGTCAGAAATTCTTCGCAGGAGCTGTTGCAGGGGAAGGGTAGAGGAGGGAGGTGAGGCTTGTAGAGGAACTTTTAGTTCAGCTTTGTTTTGTTTGAGAATGAAATATTTATTCATTTTTGGACTAACCCCTTTTCTGTACTCCATTTTTCACCACCCCCATAGCTAAGAAATGATGACTTTCACAGGACCAGAGTTTAGCTGAATCCTGGACCCATCTGTCCCTTCGGCACCTACTGCAGGGACAGGTGCCTTCTGCTCAAGATTCAGACTATCTACCCAGCTCCTGGAGGACACAAAGGGGCAGATCGGAGATTGTGGACATCTGCATGGGATTCAGTGGGAACAAAACCATCAGATTTGACTAACCTCCCTGTCTTTCCCCAAAAGGAACATGGGAAGAGTTGGAGGCTTACTTGCAGAGCCTTTTCATGATCTCCTCCTTCTAGAAGATGAAGAAGATGCTTTTGATGCAGGCTGATTAAATCTTCCCTCGGAATGGGGTACAGGCAGCCCCACTCTTCACACAGCCCGTACTCCTGGAAGGAAACACACACACTTTCAACCCCTTCAGATGACTGGCCTTGTCAGTCATCCAGCTTTTGCCTGATTTTTCTCAGCAGTCTTGAGTCTGCTAAAGCTCCAGGAAAATTTGGTGAGTGCTGATAGGAAATTCACTATGGGATTAGAGTGGGATCATAAACTCAAAGGAATAGAGTGGCAAGGTAAGTTATGACAGTGATTGAAGAAGGCTGAATGTTAATGATATGATTTTCCTCTTAGCTCTACTATAAAAAAGAAAAGCAGATGACATATAGCAACCGACACTTGATGTCAACCCTGGGAGCTACAAAGGAAGTGGGGACGACTGAGAATACTGTCCAGAGGAGACAATCCCTGCTCAGCTTTGATTGTGGCCATAAGACTGTGCAGGTCCAGTGTTACTAGACTTCAAAAAATTTTTTAATGTTTTAAATTAAAAAATTTCCCTATTTTAAAAGATTGGCAATGAAATCAACATAAAAATAAAAATTCTGCAGACCACTACTGCATGGACCAAACAAACATTGAGAGTTGGATTCTACCCATACTCTCTCTTGTTTCTTTCCCACCCTCAATTTGTGAACTCCGGATTAAAGTTTCAGATAATAGAATTACTAGGTCTTTGTCCAAGTATTCTAATACAGTGGCGCTGGAAATGTCTCCCCACAACCCTGCCTGGTGCCGCCTTCTTCAGGATGCTTCCTTGTTTCTCAGACCACATTCGGTGCCCTGCCAGTGCTCCCACTATAATCTGGGATTATTTCTGTCACTTGATATAGAATAATCACCTACGGATGTGTCTCACATCGCCCCCACCTTTCCCAAAATGGGAGCTGCTCAAGGGCAAGGACTAAGCTTAATTATTTTTGTCTGACTACCATGTATCACAGTGCCTGGCAAATAACAGGCATTCGATAAATGTTTCTTGGATGACTAAACATCTGAATGAGTATGTCTACATTTTGAACTATGGTGTATCTGCTTCTTAAAAGGCAGATAAAATTCTATGTAGCATTCAAATGTCCAACAAACACATGGAAAGATATTCAAGGTCGTTACTCATCATGGAAATGAAAATTAAAATGAGATATCGTCCTATTAGCAAAAAGTAAAAAGTTGGACAAAACTAAAAGTGGGTAAAGATATGCAGCAATAGGAACGGTGAGTGGGTATAGCTGGGGCAATGGCTTTGAAGAGAAATTGGTAATATCTTAGCGAAGGTTAGATGTTCATGCCCGATGACATAGCAATTCTACTGCTAGATATACATTCTATACCTAGTATATACAGTGTAGAAAATCTCATGTATGAACACAAGGGTGATGGTACAAAAGCATCAACTGTTATTCTCTACACTTCTCTGTATATTGGTAAATTTCTCTCACACTCATACACACACACATTACAAAAAGAATGTGATATACTTAAAAAAAATGTGGACATTGATACATGTAAGGGGGTCTACACAACCAGCTGAGGAGTTGTAACTGTGAAAAGAGGAGGAAGGGAAATACCACCCAGGAAAATGGTACCTTTGCTTCTAGAATCATGTTCATGACAGTTGATGGGTCGTCAACACAACAGTCCCTCAGGGTCTGCCAGTCACTCCACACTGGGGTAGCCTGCAAACCTAGAATCTAAGGAAAGACAGGAAAAGCTATCAAACCACAATGCAGCTTCTTCCTCCGTGAACAAGTCACTGGAGTTTCCCGAGATGGCCCATCCCTAGGTCTCTGTCCCAAAGTCTGGCTCTCAGAACTTGCCAGGAGAGAGGAGGAATTAGAGTAAATGAGGCAAAGGTTGTTTGGAGAGGTGAGTGAAACTACCGGGGAGCATAATCAGGGAACAAAGGCGGAGTGGAGGCCAGGATTGGGTACTTCCACTTCTGAGGACAATTCTCAGAGGCTTCTGCACTTCACAGCTGGTTTGTTCACTCTTCTGGGGTCATTTATCCTATGCTCCTCCATCTCAAAACTCTACCCAAGATATTCTGGCTTGAATGCTCTGTGGGATCACCTTACATGCAGCATTTAGCTCTGCATGAAAACTACTGAGCAACAGAGGAAAGAAAATCTTTTTCACCTGCCATTTTCACCGGCCTTTCCCTGGAGGGGCTCTGAGCTCTGTTCAGTTCCAAGTACACATGGAAAGGTTAGCATGTATTTTATACTTGTTATATAGCTGTACCACCTAATCTGTCTCCCTGAGCCACGTGATCTTGAATATAACACATATCCTGCAAGAATCTTTCACTTTTGAAATTGTTGCGTTCATGCATCCTTTCAAAATGGCTCTTAAAGTTCAGCTGAAATTTAAAACAATCTTTCAAAAAGACATAATAGAGACTAAGCTCTGTAAAAACTCTTGAAGAACAACAACAAAAGACATAACAGACGTACAACATACACAAAGCTCAAATACATATGTGAAAAGGCTTTGTGGACTGTAATGCATCACCCAGTTTTAATTTTTCAATCCTTGTTTGATGCATATGTATTTATAGTTACAGGAGTAGGTAAAACAGGGACCAGATAGGAGCCTTCCTTGCTGTTAATCTAAGAACAGAAGCCAGGTGCAGAGCAAAAGCCAGGCCTAGATGTTCTGTTTCTTTCTTTTTTTCCTTTTATTTTTTTTAATTGGGGGACAGTGTGTCTTTCCAGGACCCATCAGCTCCAAGTCAAGTAGCTGTTTCAATCTAGTTGTGGAGGGCGCATCTCAGTGGCCCATGTGGGACTTGAACCAGCAACCTTGGTGTTATGAGCACAGTGCTCTAACCACCTGAGGTAACTGACCGCCCCTAGATGTTCTGTTTCTCAAAATCTACCACCACATGAGCATGGACTAGAGTTGGGAACAGGGTGAGAAGCCCACTTCCTCTGTCTTGATGCCAGGGCCCATACCTTCTGATACACGCGCAGCTCTGCCAGCTTTCTCTGTAGCTCACACTTTAGTCCATCTTGGACAGTTGCATCTGAAAGGCAGTAGGCCAGGATCTCCAGGCACGACTCCAGGGGCCACCTGTCCACAAACTGCAGAGTTAGCCGACTTCTCAGAGATGCATCCTTCACAGGAAACAGGTACTGCCAACCTTCTTTGTCTGTAAGACAAAAAGATGCCCAGAGGCAGCAAGTCTGGCACTGGAAGAGCTCAAAAGTCCAGGTTACTTCTTAAGAGAAAGGCTTTGTTCAATGTCATAAAACAGAAGGTTGGAGGATCCTTAAGATCCATCTGACCTTAGTTAGTTTTTATACTTGGGATCATTATACGACAAGGAGAAATGCTATACCCTTATGTTTCTCTTTATGAAAACTTAATGAGCATATCTGAAGAGAGAGAGGGAGAGGAGGAGAGAGGAAAGGAAGAAATAAGAAGAACGGGAGGAGAAGGAAGGAAGGCAGGGAGGGAGGAAGGAAGGAAGGAAGGAAGGAAGGAAGGCAGGGAGGAAGGAAGGGAGGGAGGGAAGGAGGGAGGAAGGACAGCACAGATGACGCTCTGCTGTTCTGGCATGCTGCACATGTGGCACTGTTTCAGGCTCAGCTTGTCAGTGGAACTTTGAGTTTTCCCTGCAGTTTCCACTCTGTGCCATACGTAACTACTTTAAAGTCATTTCAGGTAAAGTCATTTCACTCCCTCGGCATCCTCTGCCATTATTGCTTAGTAGGTCACTCTCTCCCACACCCATCTCAGAGCTGAAACACAGACTGAGAGAAGGTAAGACAGTATAGCCAGTCCGGGGATCACCTTCTTCAGGACGCGTTTTCTCCTTTCCACAGGACAGCCAAGCCCCCTACCCAGAAGCACACCCTACAGCACACCTGACTCCTGCTCCCCCTAGTGGAGGGCTGTAGGTCATTGGCTCTCAATTCCAGTTACGTATCCAAATCTCCCCGGGGAGCTTTTAAAGTAGGGCTTGTCAAACAGGTCCACAGTCTGTTTTTATAAAGTTTTATTGAAATGTAGCCACACTCATTTGTTTATGTATTGTCGTCCATGGCCAGTTGCATGTTATAATGGCAGAGTTGAATAGTTGCAACTGAGGCTGTATGGCCTTCCAAGCCCTTAACAGAAGAAATTTGCTGACCCTTGCTTTAAAATAAACATTTGCCTGGCCCCCATCCTGGGCTTCTGGGGGTGGAGCTCAGATATTTGTAGTTTATAGAATTTTCCAACAATTTAACATGCAGGGTTGAGAATACTGGTTATGAGTATGTGTGTTAGAGTTAGAAGTGGGTTCTAAGCTCTGTTCCAGTTTCCTACCCTTAAAGCCTCGGTTTCCACCTAAACCTGTCTGAGATTGTGGTGGCACCTTTCTCTGTTGCTGTGAGGATCACATGTGGCGATACACTCAGTGGATGCTAAGTATTAGCACTAGTGAAGGGGGGAGGCACAGCTTTCTGCTCACCACATGCCGCCGCACAGCTCAGGACCGTATCCTGTACGCTGCTCAAGTCGTCCACGTCGCGCCCGTACACTTCAGTGAGCTGAAGGGCCCGGGGCCAATCTCTGGCCACCAGTGCTTCCTTGAAGGCCTCGGTGAGCACATCCAGGGCAGTGGGAGAATGCAGGCCCAGGAGGACAGTGGAGAGAGTTGCCTGGCCACAGAGACTTGCTGCCAGACTCTGCCCCTGCTTGGAAGCCGCTCGTAGGGGCTCCCAGGCAGCCAGGAGGGAGGCCGCAAGCATAGGGTAGTGTTCCAGGAGGCGCTCACACTCCGAGGCTACCTGCTCTGCAGTCAGAGGCACCTCCCTGCGGCCACGAAGCTCCTTCCAGGACAAGCTGGGCTTGGTGACCTTTGATCCCTGGGAAGACCCTAGACAGACCACCGTAGCCAGAAGCTTTGAGCGGGACTTAAGGAAGGCCAAGGCAGAGGAGGTGAGGGCTGGGAGTGATGAATCCCTTGGGGAGAAGAGGGGCTTTCTCTCTGACATGAGGTTCTCAGTTGACTTTGGGGAGCTTGGCATTGAAAGTGGGAGGTCCTCTAGGCAGTGGGAGGTGTGCAGCTGGGCCACGGTGCCCAGGTGGGTCAGAAGGGATGATGTCTGCTGGCTTTGCAGGGAAGAGCAAAGGGCAAGGGGCTCACAGCAGCAGTTGACGATGACCTGTGGCACGCTCAGGCTGAGACCCTCTCGGGCCAGGAGGGCTGCTAGCCTGGAGGGAGAGAGGCAGAGGGTGTGCAGAGCCTGAGTGCCCAGGCACTATCACCTAATCTCAGAATTTATTTATGTTTACACAAGCAAATGTAAATGTAGGCTCTTTAATTGTCCTCCCCCTCCCCTTCATTAATTAGTTAATTAGCTGAGCCATCCTGCCACCTGTTGGCAGCTCAGCGGCAACTCAGCTCAGGCCGGGAATCGAACTGCTGTTGCTCAGAGCTCAAACTCTTGAGCGAGCTCTTAACCAACCCCCCCTTCTTCTAAACACAAAAGGTAGCCTATTAGACATACTGCTCTGCCCTTTGCTTTTTTACTTCATAACGTGTCTAGGAGACCTGTCCATATCCTTCTACAGAAAGGCCCCTCATTCCTTTTCACAGCTACGTAGTATTCCAGTATGGGGATGAACCATAATTCACCTAGTTTCCTGTTAGCAGACAATGGATTTTTCTGATCTGTTGCTATTACATATAAGGCTGTAATAAAATGACTTCGTACATACATCCTTTCCCATATGTATAATAAAGCCGCCAGATAAATGCCCCAACATGGATTGCTAGGTCAAAGGGTGTAAGAATTTATAATTTTAGTAGATAAGAACAAACTGTCTTTCCACAGTGGCCATACCTATTTATATCCCACCAGCAATCTATGAGAATCCTTGTCTTCCTAGCCAACTAATGTGTTATCAAATTTTCGACTTTTACATATTTACAAGTGAAGACTCACCCCTTACTTTTATACTTGCAATGTAGATGTTAGAGGTGGCAAGAGAGAGAGAAAGGAGAGGCACACTGAATTTGAATGTAGTTGTATAACGGTACATGCTGATCAAAGGCAAAGTTGGAAAGAAATCCCACCCCAACCCCACGTGATGAACCAATCAGGAAGGCCTGTGCTTGGCTCCCATGGGGTAACTCCTACCTGTCAGGGGGAACTTGTCGCTCAAGCAGGAGGTGTGACACCAGTTGGGAAGAGCTCTGTTGCAAGAGGACGAAGGGATTTCCTACCTTGACTTCCACGTGATCTGTAAAGGTAAAGAAAGGGACCTTTGTTTGTACCACTGATTGTGAAGCCCTGTTTTCCAGAACCAATAAAAAAAGTAGTGTCAAAACAGAGACTATATTGCGAGCCTGTCTGTGGATATTTTCTAGGTAAAGGGTATTCTCAACATGACCCTGAACACGAGTTTATCTACGCCTTACCCCTGCTCTAAAGACTTCCAACCACAAACTTCAGTAGCCACAAACAATTTATTCTGCTCATTCAATGTGACTAAAGTGCACACAGTACTTGCTCTGTGGACTCAGTTGAGTAAGGATCTGGCACTCATATCAGAAGCTTGTTTCTTCTGCTGGGACCTCACATCCACAATGGACTGAAGGTCTGAGAGAGGTATTTTTGAGTTATTAATACCATTAAAACTTACTGGGTATCCCATGTGCTGTACAACTGCACTAGGTATTAGGGAGACAAAGATGAATAAGCCACAGATGAATAAGGGGACCATACAAACCTAGTGTCCTTGGCTACTGCTGTGCCCGGAACCTCTTAAGGGAGTACCTTTCCTCTTCCCTGCCCTAAGCACTTGCAGGCCAGGTGTGACTGTTTCCTCTCTCCTGCCACTTACCAGGCTCAGAGCGCAAACTCTGCAGAAAAACTGCAGCCAGGGTGCTGCAGTAACGGAAGAAGGTGCCCATGTAGTCCGTCTGTCTGCTGCTCGCTGGTGTCTGTCTGCCCAGGTTCTTCTGGAGCAGCTGAGTCTGGATGTGCACAGGGTGGGCCTCTGCCTTCGGAGTTTTCTGGGCTGCCTGCTCCACCAGCGAGGACAGCGGAGTGCTCCTGGGCTCTGAGGAGTAATGGAAGGAGGAGGGATATGGGCTTTAGTCTGTGCATCTGGCGGTGGCTCAGTTTCCAACACAATTACAGGAGCTGGGCCTCTGTACACTGCACGGGGCATCCTATAGCGTGGGTGTTACACTTATAAGGCAGCTATAAAATCCTAAGTTGGTCACCTGTACAAGTGATGCTCAGCCTGGAAGAGCTTTGAGTCTGGAGAAATCGAGGTGGATAGTTTGCTTTTTACCCCAGTGCCTCTGGGTTTGGCATGGCTCTTTGAAGAGCACAGCAATCTTTTGGGGAAGGGTTGATCAATATTTACTGAGTACCTTTGGGGTATAGTTCTCATTAGGAATTAAAAAAATATATCAGCTAATAGAGCGTTAAGCATCCCTTTATTCGAGAGGCAGGAGAACAAGCGGAGTTAGCTAGGAGACATGAGCTGGCTAAGCAGTGGGCTGGCAGGTCCACTGCTGAGTTCCTAGGCCTGGGCTCCAAAGCGTTCCTTCATCCTCAGCTGTGTCCTCTCCCCAGGTAAGCCCTCATCGGCTCCCACACACTCGGGCCTGTACCTGGCTGCTCTAGCGCCTCTCTCAGTGACTGAAGGGCCTGATCCAGCTGCTGGGACAGGGTGGCGTGGCTGGCAGCACAGTCCTCAGTCAGGCTAGGCCAGCACATCTGAAGCAGCTCAGCAATGCTGCACCGCGGAGGACCGCCTCCTTTTACTTCTCCGCTCTCTATGGAAAGCGCATGAGAAAGAAAAAGTGAAGTCTGATGCTGACCTAATGTTCTGAGTCCAGAAGAAAAAAAAAGGGAAGAAAAGCAACTCACCTGATTTAGTCTGTCCAGCTGACATAAGTGAATAATTGAGAATCTTACTGATTTGCTGAAGAACAACTGGGAAACCTCGAATGCCGTCAGCATTGAGGAGCACATGGTCCAGCCGTCGACCTGTGAACAGACGAAGGAAGAGGGAATGCAAAAAAAAATAAGGTACTTTTGGAGATTGGTACTCAGTTCTGTATATACTTGTACAATTTTATCTTCTCCAATGTTAAGGAGGAAATATATGCTGTGCGATTTTGGGTGACAACCAACATCCCTGGCTTTTCTGTACCTGAGGTTCCAGGGCTACCTCTGCCAAGATGCCTCAGCTGTCAGTAGCAGCAGGCACTCCTGTGGAATTGCTGTCCCAAGCCAATCAGTGGGCATTGCTTGTAGATTTGTCTTGGTACTGCCCTCTCAGCTGAGGACTTGAGCTGGTATCATGTCTGTCTTCTCTAACTGCTTTAAGTGGGACCTGACACCCTGGTTAGACTATAAACAACTTTATGACAGAGAGGTAATTCATTATACCTCTCTTCTACCCCCATATACTTGGGAAAATCTGGAAACACAGTAGGTACTAAATTAATTCCTAATTGATTGACCTGAAACTGTTTCAGCTACTAACAGCTTGAGTATCACGTTTCATTTTAGAATATAAGTACTAGACTAGGGGGAGGGGAGTTGTTGGATAAAAACAGCATTGCGTATGTCCCAGTATACTGTCTTAGAAGGACTATAGGAACATTAAATGACATTTTATCCAACAGCTCAGGTTGGCTTGGAGAGGTGTGCAGACAAGAGGTAACACAGCAGAACTGAGATTGCTATCCTTAGAAAGACCTGCGTGCAAGGTCGGCCCTTGATGGGTATCTGTGAACCTGGCTGTTAAACAGTTTTGAACGCTAACATAAAACTTTCCCTACATGGGAAGAGTGGCTCTCTGTGCCTACACTCTTTGTATGATGTGGTTTATGCTGAATACCTGCTTTCCTTCTGAGAGTCTGGAAATATTGGTACACAGTGGGCATTGGGCACTGGGTCTCTAATGAACTTCCCCGTAGACAACACTTCATACTTGTCAGAGCTCACTGCTGGAGGAATGAAACCCGCCCTGTGTGACTCCACAGGGAGAGGTCTCTTGGAAGCTTTTGCCTAGTTTCCTCCAGCCTGTCCCATGGGCCTTTCCCTCTGCTGATTTTGCTGTATACTCTTTTGCTGAAATACATCTTAGTCACGAGTACAGCTACATGCTGAGTCCTGCGAGTTTTCTCGTGAGTCACTGAACCTAGGGGTGGCTGTTCATATCGTAACCTAGTCCCCATTCCTCCCTCCATGTTACTGAGCGAGGACATGTTCCCTTCTCCTTCACTGGTCACTCCTTCCGATGTTTGGTGTGAGTGTATCAAGGATGGGTGGGGAGTGGAACTTTGCCTGATTCTGTCTTCTCATTCTTCTCCCTTCCTTCCTCTAAGAAGTCCATATACAAATTCTGAGATATCATCAACCTCAAGGTACAGACCTCTCTCCAACTGTGATCCACTAAGTTTTCCCTTATATCTGGTTTACGATTTCAAGGCTGTCCCAGGCTCTAGGTTAGGGTTCACTTAGGAGTGGGAACACAGTCCAAAGACACAAATTCCATTTAGACCATTTTTGAACATATATTTGTTCCTTGAATTTATCCATAAATCAGAAAAGAATGTCCCCAGATGACCGCAGATTGTGATGTCTATGAAGAATGAGACTCTCAACGGACTATATCTATGCCATCATATTGGACACGAGGACATTAATAATCCTTTCTCCCTGTCCTTCCTTCCCCAATACGTACTTTCTTCTTGCACAACTTATCAAGTAGCTCAGAAACCCATCTGCGAAGAAATCAAGCTGAAGAAGCACACTCACCCCGGCTCTCAAGGCTACTGTTCAGACGTCGCTCAGCCGTTTCCAAGAGCTGCTTGCAAGTTTTCCAGAGCTGGCACTGAGAGCAAGCTAGGTCAAACGCAGCCATGGCAGGGGGACTGAGTTCTTCTAGAATCTCTCTCAGAGGATCCGTGGGCTCTACCAGTGTACTGCTTATCCAGAAGTCCTCCTGGAGTGTGGGGATGGGGTCTCCAGAGGTGCTGAGCAGCTTGTCGGTCACGTCAGAGATGGAGTAAAATACCATCCCTGGACACCCAGCAGTGGAGCAAAAAGCAAGAGGTTAAAATGATTCTAACTACCACTTTTACTTTGAAAAGCAGTTATTTAAAAAATGTTCGAGGTCTTTCTGCACAGGATGTCTTCTATGTATATCAGCACCATCATTACAGCCCATTTTTATGGCATCAACACAATGGCATATAGAGGGAGACCAAGAGAAATTCAAAATGGATGAGGTGAAGGAGGGCTTCTTCCAAATGGGATCTAAAAGTAGGCTGAGAAAGAATGAGGTGGCTCTGTGTGTGCTAATCAGGAAAGATCTCTAAAATATACTACCAAAAAAGCAAGATAGAAAAGAGTGCTTGTTGTAAGAGCTCATTTATATATATATATATTTTAAAAGGATGTGCATATATTTGTTTTGAATAGCTATTGAAAATCTCTGGGAGAATATAGCAGTAACGTGTGGTGGTACTTGATACATAAAGCCCAGACCAGGAAGATAATGTGAAAATGTGGGACAAGATTTCACTTTCAAGAAATAATGAAAGGATGAGCTTTTCTGTGGTACAGCCAAGATTGGGAATTGAGACCTGTGACTTGCAGGCCATATACATGACTTCTTCACTTTCCAGAAAAGCAAATTAATACACTTTATTCCTGAATAATTATATGGGGAGGAAATAACCTCCTAACCATTTTCCAAAGCCTAAGATAGTGGCCATCAAAACACATGGTGGAAATAGGATTCATACTCTTCAGTTTAAGTCACATAGGACAAGCTTAATGGAGTAGCTTGAGCGACAGGTATGTGACCATCTTGGACGGGGAAGTCGGGCACAGCTAGAAACCGTCTCTCAATATGTCAGGACTGTTATTCTTCAAGGCAAGTGTCCTGCTCTGGATTTCTGCCCACCTTCATGATGAGCCTGTCATTTGGGCGGCTTCTCCCTTGCTACCCTCCTCCCCCAGCGACATCACCACTTACGGCGGCAACAAGGAAGCCTGACCTGCTGCCGCGGCACTGCCAATGGCCTGTAGAGTCGAGCGGCCACTGCCTGTTCTTCGAATGGTGCTGCTGCCCCCGTCTGAGTTCTGGCTTTCAATCTTGTGCTCTACGCGGGCCAGCTCCTGGATCACGTCCTGGTAGCGCTCCATGAACATCAGTTCCCCTGAGCTGGGCGAGGACTTCAGGTTGAACATGAACACCACCTGGCACGGGAGAGGGGGTTGTGTGTGTTGTGGTGGGTCTGTGGAGTTGGGAATGTCTAGAGATATGAGATCTTGTCTATCATTAGACTATGGCCCTAAGAATCTGCTTGGTAAGGTGGGAAGAGCACTGCATATTAGAAGAGTAGATCAAATACAGATCTAACTCATACAAGTCAGCAAGAAAGCCACCAAAGCCCCAGCAGAAAATAGGCAGAAGATATGGACAATTTTAAAGAGAAAATACATATGACTAATATACAGGTGAAAATGTTTTCCCTTCCAGTGATCCAGGGAGTTTAAGTAACATTAATACCATTCTGCATCTATCACAATGACAAAGTGTAAAAATAAACCCTCAGGTGGTGGTGGAAAAATGAACTGTCGCAACCTCTTTTGGAAAGCAACCTGGCAATCCATAAAACCTTAAGAACATTTTTATTCTTTGACTCAGTAACTTCCATGAGGAACTTTCTTAAGGAAATAATTCAAAAGGCCTAATGCCTAAAGGTGATAATCATGGCAGTATTTATTACAACTATTACAAGGTTGAAAATAACCTAAATGTTGAGTAATGGGAATGGTCAAATGCAGCTACTTGATCACACTATTGTAAGGTCATTAAATCAGTGACAAGGCAAATGTTAAAAAGGCAGTACACAAAGTTTTGGATTCAAAATAATCTCAGCTATATAAAAGCCATATATATCTTAGAAAAATATACTTTACCTTTAATAGTGGTTGTTCTGGAAAATAGAATTACAAGTGATTTTATTTTCTTGTTAACATTTTTAGTATTTTCTTATAATATGCACAGCTTATTCTATAGCCAGGCTAAAAAAAAATAAAGCTTCTATTTTTTAAAAAAGATAAAGGCCCCAGGAAAGGGAGAGGAAGTGAGGACACCTAGGGGTAAAGCATTTGTGGGTCTCACAGCTGACTTCCTCCAGATTTGGGTGTAACAAAGGCTGGTGAGGGTCCTATCCCCACCAGACGGTCAGAATTATCATTATCATTAAAGTATGGGATCTGAAATGACCAGAGGAAGTTAAGCAGATTTTCCTATCACTTTGATTTATTCTTTAACAACTGAAAGCCCATGAAAGTAACATTCTGACCTACATATTATGAGATGAGCACAGTATGATCAATACACCAACAGTTTCAAAAATTAGAATAGTAGGTTTTTATGCTGTTAAATTTGAGCAACAGTAGAGGATTCTTGTATTTCTCACAGCTTGTACAAAATCCTCTTAACAGTCTCATGAGGTAGGACGAGCGGGCATTACATTTAACTCCAATTTTCAAATGAGGATATTGAAGCCCAGGGAGGGTAAGAGACTTGCTGGTTTCTATTCCTTGCGCCTTTCCCTAAACAACATGAACATTCTAGGTAGGCAGTCCCTATACTTCCTGTATAGTGGCTTAGCACTCTTTACTGTGACAAGACGAGGCCTAGGCTGCTAATACCTGCTGCACAAGTGCTCCCCTCACCTGATGGGCTTCTGCAAGGTTCCCCCGGAGGATGCAGGATGCCAGCAGCGACTCAGGTGGGGAGCACATCATAGGGATGAGCGAACTTTGAGTTTGGGGCTGCAACCGGCCATGCAGCTCATGCCTCCCAGACGTGGTGTTCAGACTTCCCTCTGTTGGGGCACAAGAGTGCGCAGGCCAAGGAAGCAACAGAAGTTGAGGAAAAACGATGCTGCTGTCACCTCCCACCAAACTCTCATATCTTCAAGTTCCTTCTCCAAAAGGTCTTAATTTCCCCTCAAGCGAAGGGCAAACCTATGCTATCATCTTTGAATATGAGACTTAAGTACCACTCTTAGGTATTTAGCTCTCCTTCTCTCTGCTGACATGTAACTCAATTGATAGTGAAACAGCCCTTTCCCCGCTGAAATCCATTTGGCCATCTGCAGAACCAACCTTCTTCTTGTTTTTAATTGATATATAATTGACATGGAAATTGTATTAATTTTTGGTATAGAATATATATATATATGTTGTGAAACGATCACCAAAGTTTAGTTAACATTCATTGTCACACATAGTTGCAAATTTTTTTCTTGTGATGAGAACTTTTATGCTCTGTCAGCAACTTTAAAAAAATATATATATATATAATAAGAGTATTGTTAACTATAGTTACCATGCTGTATATTACATCCCCAGAGCTTATCTATCTTATAACTGNCATGACCCTGAGCAGACAGCTCCAGAGCTCCCTCTCACCTTGAGGACGTCCTCTGGAATGTCACCTTGGAGGTCTTCTGACAATAAAAGAAACTCAAGCTTTCTCCTGAGAACAGTTGGGAGTAACTTCTAGAAGAATCATATGAAGGAAGGATAGCCATTAGGCATACGTTTTAGTTAAGAAATTGCAAGTAAATATTTTTCTTCAGTTACTCTTATTTCTGCCGTTTCTCTAAGATAAAGTACTTTTAACCATTAAATTCTTAGATATATTTTGAGATACTTTTCTTTATAAACAAAAACAGCTAAGCTTGGATGCATATCGCTCTTAAATACTAATGCTTAAATTCCACACTCTAGCTTCAAGGTTTGCTCATTTCACGTGACTTTTTCTGTCACTTGAAGTCTTTCTCCAAGAATCTCTTGCAGTGTCCAAAACACCCAGTCATGACGCAGACTAGGAGGGTGTGGCCCACGTGATCCTTTTTTGGTCCAAATCCCTAATTTTGGTATTCATTATAAGTTTGAAAACAAAAGCAAAGGGGAAGGATCTAATGTTTATCAAACACTTATTATGTGCCAGATACTGTGTACTATGTCTTCACATATTTTTAAAAATCTCATTTAATCTCTAAATTAAACAATCCTGTGGCATAAGTATATATTTTAAAAAGTAATCTTTACTAAAGATGAAATGGTTAGGAAGAATTTTCTAAATATTTCAAGCATGAAAAGGAAAAAGGGATCCCAACGTTTGTTAGTGAGGCATGCCACCAGAGAAGACTAACGTATAAAGGAAGAGAAAGCCTCTGACTCTTCCTGTACCTGCCTGTTTCACAGTAACTTCCCTTTACCTGGTTCTTAGAACTAAAATTGTAGTCTGGGAATAATCTTGACAGACACTGATTTAAATTAGAGACACCTGTAAATCATGCTACTGGTTAGAGATTCCAGAAGCTGGGTTTTATTGAAAGGTACCCTAGCTCAAGGCAGGAAGCGCCTGTGGGGTTGTATTTGCAGGAGGGGGATTTACAGNTTTCGCCACTTCCCACACTGCCTACTCTAGTTCAGGAAGTGCTGGTGAAGTGGGTGAAAAACAAAACAGGAACCCAGACCTAGGGAACACCTAAGGCTAAGTTAGCAGGGAGACATGGCTCACACACAGTTCAGTAGGCAGTTGTTGAAGAAGTGTGATCCAGGGTAACACATGGCTACAAATGTGGACTGCACTGACTCGCATGTCACTTTGGGCATGTGACTTAACAGCTCTGGGCTTCAGTTGCCCCATCTTTAAAATGAAGATAATACTGGTATTTACCTCACAGGATTATTGGGAGGCTTAAGTGAAATCATCCATGTAAAGGGCTTGGAGCTATGCCTGGCATATCGTAAGTGCTCTGGAAATGTGAGCTACTGTTCTTTTGACCATTGTCATCCTAAAATGATCCTCTAGTTATAACCTTATGGCTATGGTGAAGATAATTTTTACTCGTGGTTCTTTCCATAGTTGGAATGATTATTAGTTGTGGTCAACACCATCAACTCAAAACCTTCATGTGGAAGGTGTCTTGAAACAGTCACACAGACAGAGCACAGCGATAAATGTGCGCAGCGGTGGAAGGGGGCTGGCTGCGCAGGGCAGTACCTGCTCTGCTGTACACACCACTCCAGGACCTCCAGGTGAGCCCACAGCCCATCACAGGCATCCCTGAGGAGCTTGTCACAGCCTTGGTCCTGTGTTGATAAAGAAAGAGATGCAGCCTCAGGCACCTGGGGTCAGAGATTGTGACCGACTTCAGGGCCCTGCATTCTGCCCCAGCCCAAATCCCCATGGCACCGGCTTCTGGAGCAGCCCCGGCTGCAGAGTGAGAGTTACCTGGGTCCTGTGGAGTGTCTCGAGCAGTCTCTTGGCTGACCCGAGGCTCTGGCAGTGTGTCCAGCCCAGGAGCACAAGCAGTCGACTGAGAGGCCTGAATTCTCTATCTAGTAGGTGGCCAAGCCTCGGGAAGTCTTCCTCTTTCAACAGTGTTAGTGCTGTCACCTGTTAAGTCAAAGAAGGCTGCAATAGGCAGTTGTGTGGACTTGCTGTTCGTTAGGGTGAGAAGCTTTTCAGTATAGCAGAGAGATGTCTGACAATGACAGAAGTGGCCAGCCGAGTAAAAGATGTTCTCAAAAACACTAAACGATAAGCTCTTTGAAGGCAGGGACAGCCTTCTGTTGTAACCCCGGCTCCTAGCACAGTACATGGCACGCAGGAATAGGTTGGTACATATCTGCTGAATTAAGCTGAAGCTCAGGGCAATCTGGAAGAAGGTTAGAGTTATTAAATCTCCCTGTCGGATGGGCAACATATTGCTGCCACTGTGTTTTCTTCCTCACACCCTCCAGAAAGCTTACACGTATCTGACATTTTAGTTCCTGCCAAAGGACTGATATAAAATGACTGCAGCTCTAATCATGAATGGTAGTGGTTCTCAAAGCATTCTTCCCCCCTGGGTCTATGGGATGGACAAAACCAAATGACTCACCCATAATTAGACAGCTTTGTGCCGGATAAATGAAAGGGAGGAACATGAGGAATGAAAAANCTTTTACACTGTAGGCTGTGACCCATGACATTGACTTAGAGGCTACATTTAAAAAAACAAAATACAACAGAAAAATAATCAAGAGTATGCTCTGTTTAGAAGGGTAAGTATTGTTTCTTAAAACTTATTTCAGTTTGTATATCACTTACATACACATATACACATACATATATAAACACACAAATTATATACCTAGGTACAAACTGGAGTGTGATGTGAAAATGCTATTTTACTGTGGATTATAGCTTTATTTTATTTTATTTTATTTTTAGCTGAGCCGTCCTGCCACCTGTTGGCAGCTCAGCAGCAGCTCAGCTTCGGCCAGGAATCGAACTGGCAACCCTGTCGCTCAGAGCTCACACTCTTGAGCGAGCTCTTAACCACCTGAGCCATTCGGCAGACCCTGTGGATTATAGTTTTAAATAAGGATTTGGAAAACACTGCACTAAGTGATCAGACTCCATTCGAACTTGGCAAATCATTTGCTTTCTCCATGTCCCATTGATTCACAGAGGCTGATAAATGGATGAAATGATTCCTGGGCAGTCTAAAACCCCAGTCCTGGTGGAAAAGGGTTCCCACACAGTGAACTCTCTGGAACGGGTCATGACCAGCTTATGTCAGAGAAAGAGGGTGGGCGCTGTACCTGAGGTGGAGACGGAATCATTCCCTGGTTCCACAGCCGAGGCCAGGTCCTCAGATGGACTGCCTTTGCATTCCTGGCACTGGGTGTGCTGGTGTGAGTTCACACAGAGGGCATAGATGGCATACTTCATGGCACAGAAGCTCTGGTAGAGCGTCAGGTTCTGACACTGGCTCAGGTGCTCAGGGACCAAGGCATCAGCTGAATCTGCGTTATAGAGAGAAACAGGCAAAACTTCAGAGTTGGCTCTTTCAGGTATGGGCTGCAAGTATGGCTGAACCAGAGATGCTGCGTTTCCAGGTCCCCTATGCGTTCTTAACCTCGTTCCTTTCTGTTAGCTTGGTCTGCATCCCTTCCTGGCCCTTTACTCAACATCGACTTTCAGTCCCCTCCATTTCCTTTTCCCCACCAACCTCCCTTCTACATGTCTGTTCATCACAGGCCTCATGGCAACTTAACAAGTCTTTTCCTTACATTTCTTAGGATCTTATTTTTCCTTTTTAAAAAAATTAAAACTTTAAGTAAATGTTTCATTTCCCTAGTGCCACTTTATCCAAGAGGCAGGCTTAAAATGTGTTTCGGTTGAGTAACGAGAACAAAGGCAACAAAAAATATTTTGAAAAACATTTGATATTTTTATGAAAGCACTGAAGCAGATATCTTGGGGAAAAAACACGAACTCTGTTGGAATTCCTTGTACTTGTTTAATAATTTATAATTTTCATTTAAAAAAATTTTGAACTTCAAGAGGAAGACAGGGCACCATAACCTTTATAGAGTTTCTAAACATCTTAATCTGGCTTTAATTCTTTTCAGAGCAAAAATACAACCTGCTCAAAGAAAAAGTATTTAATGTAGAAAGCAAAAAAGATGACCAAAAAACCACCCATGATCCTACCAGTGAAAAACCACCATTGTTTACATTCTGGTTTACCTGTTTTGATAGGACTGCATATACGTATATGTGTGTGTGTATGTCTAAGATGAGTGTAATGACATTTTCTATATATTTAATTTTCCTATTTCTTAAAAATCCACTATAGTATGAGCATTTGATTATGCTTCTTCATAAACTATTATAAATTTCTAATGGCTGCATTTAGTTCTACTGACTGAATTCCTCACCTACCCAGATTCCTCTAGGGCAGCATACTGCAGTAATTAGGGATGCTTGGCTACTATGATGTTGCAATAAACCCCTTTATGTATAGGCTTCCTAGTGATTACTTCTTCTAGAAAGTCCAGCTTTGCCAAGGTCAGGGTAAGAAGGGGAACATGATCAATATTGTCCTATGCCCTTTGCCTCTNCAATGGGTTGGGACCCCCCATACCTGAAGTACTTGTGCTCAGCTCACTACTTGTACTTTCCAGGGATAGATTGGAGCCTCTGTCCCGGCCATCTAGAGGTGTCAGGAAGAAGAGAGAAAATCAACCATCAACTCCTTACAGTGTAGAAAGTGAGAAGTTGGCTTGAAAGCCAAGATCTGGGTAAAGTGAAGGGTAATGGGTGACATCTGCTGCTTCTTCTATAGCAAAATATGAGTTCCTAAAGACCAAAGGTGAAGGGCGGGCTTAATATGGCCCCAGTGATCATTTGGGTAGTAGCTTATACCAGTGTGTCCAACCTGAGTGTCTCAGAGCCCTAAGAGCTTTCAAGTTACTTCTAGAGGTCAGTGGCCTCAATCTACTCACTAAGCACTGTCAATGTTCTGGGGAAAAAAAAAATCACAACTATTATGACCAGGAAGTAGTAGGGTACATAAGAGGGTCACAAAATTTTCTGACAGAAAAAGTTGTCCTTATACTTGAAAATGTAGGAAACGAAAGTATAAGACCTGGTCTGCCAAAGATCTTGGTATTTCAAGCCCTGGAAGAAAAGCTTCTTCTCAATGCCTGCTCTCCTGAAGTGCTAGGGCTTGAGAATGCAGGCTCACTATTCCTTAGTGTGGTGTCAGCCCCAAGGAAGGGGGTCTCCTTGGTTTACTGTTTGGAAAGGACACGGCAGCTGTAGGAAAGAGAAGATGGCTTGAACATTCTTAAAGGGCTGGATAGGTCAAGTGGATGCAAACTATGCCTTTTCACTCAAACCAATTATTGACCAGCGTAAGGGCCTTAGTAACAGCTTGGAGGTTTTCCAGGTTTCTCTCATGATATGTTTCACTCTACTCAGTAAGCTTACCTTTCTCATTGCCAGTTAGCTAGAGCCTACTCTTTCTTCTGAGCTCGGTTCAAGAGTCAACTTTTCCATAAAACCTGATTCCCTGACTTTTGTAGGCTATGCTGATCTCCCTCCCTAAGAGATTTCTTCTGTTTTCCGGCAGTTCAGTTTAAGATTTCATGTGTGCTGTCTATGCAGGTAAATTATAAATTCTTTGAAGGCAAAGTCCTGGTTTATGCCTCATTCACCTCCTTCAAGACACCTATGCGTAGTAATGTTTAGCACATAGGAAACTCCTATGAATTCCTTGTTCATTATTTAAAAACCAGCACCAAAAGCCATAATGAAAATTTGATCATCTAAAAATTTAACACTCTTGTATGATGTTTTTGTATGAAACTCCTTCAGAAAAACCCATAACCAAAGTCAAAAGACAAAATGGAGACTAAATTGTTACCACATGATGACAGAATATTTTCCTTCATGTATAAAGAGCTTCTTACAATTCAACAAGAAAGATGAACCCAATAGAAAATATAGGCCCTAGACATGAATAGGCAGCTCACGAAAAATATCAATGGCCATAAATATATGAAAAGGTATTCAATCCAAAGTAAAAATTAATATCAAAACACGATACACCATTGCTGTATTCATCGTATTGGCCAAGATTTAAAAAAACCTGATACTACTCATTTTTGATGACTGTGCAAATAGGCACTCACATGCATTTGGTGGGAATGTAAATTGGTCCATCTTTTTTTAGGCAATTTGGTAATTATTTTATATCCACATATCTTTGACTTGCTATTCTACTGCTAGGGTCTTATCCTATAGATATATTCACATAAGTATGCACAGACATATGTATGAAGTTGTTTACTATAGCATTGTTTACAGTAGTAAAAAAACTAGAAAAATTTAAATGTTCACAAAAGGTTACATATGACAATAGAACACTAAGCAGCCTCTAAAATAAGTGAAAAAAAGTCTCCAACATATAGTATGATACATCTGTGTATATAAAGGATATAAATGAAAAAAGAAAGTTGCAATTCTCAATTTATGTAAGTATATATAGTATAATGCATCTGTGTATATAAAATGACATATAGGCTTATACTGCATGGAAAATGTCTGGAAGGAAACTATCAGCAAAGGTTACCTTGGTGGAGTGGGACTAAGATAATCTTAAATCATTTTTGTTTGTTTGTACCATGTGCTTCACATTAAGGAATATAAGACAAGTGGCAATATACCACTTGCCTGGGAACGAGGCATGGGGAGGGGGGGTTGCTCTTCAGATTACCTGCCCGGCTCTTCCGTGTCCGACGACCCCGGCGGACACTAGGATGCCGTGTGGCAACAGGCCGGTATCTTCGGGAAGGTTGCTCCTCTGAAACAGCAAACCCAATGAGTCACACGGGAAAGTGATCAGTTTTGATTTGACCCACCTCCTGGGGTAACAGGTAGAGGAAGATTTGGGCTGGGCTCTGAGACATGGTTCTGATGCTAGTTGCTATGGTGATATACCCTAGTTATGGTGTGACTCCCATGCACGCCTTGCTCTCTCCCACACTCTTGGGATTTTTCTCCCTCTTCATTTCCTGGACCCACTGGTTCTGCTTTCTCCTCTCACCTGAGCCCTGGTTGCTTGTTACCACCTTGTATCTCCATTGGGCCTCAGAGAGAACTTTGGAAAACCGGTGCAGGCGGCTCTGCAGCCCATCTTTGCTTCCCGTGCAGCTCTGGCCTTCCAGCAGCTTCCGCTCCTCAGGGGGTGTGCGACTGCTGAGCACATCCAGCTGCTCCTGGAGAAGCCTGAGGAAGGCCCCTATTGCAAACTCATCAGCCAGGAATCCACTGATACCAGTAGTAAAGTGCTTTAGGTCCAAAAAGCTGTGCCCGTGGGGCCCTGGGGAACTGTCTTTTGGCTCTGTCTTCAGACACGTTGGAATTGTATAAGCAAAGCTCCTGGGGACTCCCAAGGAGCCCCGTTCTGACTTCCTCTCAGGCTGTGCTATGTGCTGAGGGCTCTCTGATGGGGACCTCAAAGCCAGCGGGCCCTTTCTCTCAGCGTCATCCTCCTCAGCATAGTCCTCGGGCAGGTGAGGCTCTGGGTGAAGATCGGCAGAGGTGAGGAGGAGCAATGAGAAGATGTTTTCTAGAAGTTCCAGGCACAGAGAGTCAGGTACACTGCACAGATACTGCTGACACCTGGCCAGGTATGTTGAGAAGAGATTTGAAGCACCTAAAGAAGCATGTATAAGAGACCAGAGAAAAAGAGAAAATGCACACATTAGAAACACTACTTGCCAGACTCAAACATTCTCACAACTTGAATGAATCATTTTTTAATGACTAAGGGAATTGCAGTTAGTCAGAATAATGAAAGATTCTCAAGCCATGTCTTTTCATGATTTGCAGGAAGATTTTTCTACCTTAATTAAAAGTATAGCTCACTGAACACTCGTTATTTTGTTCTGCTTTTTAAATATTGTATTACTCTTC